CACACATGATGGTATTAAGGCACAGGGAGGTTTGGTAACTTACCCAAGGTCACACAGCTCATAAATATCTGAGCGTTGAATTCAGGCAGTCTGGCTCCTTAACAACTGTATTCTATTTGCTCATATTGAAGAGACATTTCATTGGAAACTTACAGGGTAAAGAAGGGCAGTCATGGCAGAAGACTCATTATCATGGTTACCCAAACGGCATAAAAGCTGAGTAGTAATAATAGTAATCTCAACTTACCTTTAATTTCTAGTTTATTCTACATTTACTTGTGCCTACTACATAAGGCACTGTATTAGGTGCTGGGGATTCAGATGTAAGTATGACCTACAGGATTCCCACTCCAGCAGGACTTACAGTCCCATGCAAGGTACACACAGGGGATTAGAACACTGTAGAACAGAATGACATGTGCTGTTATCAGCAAGACCCGCAGAAGACTGTGGGGACCGGGAAGGCACCTGACCCAAACATAGCATAGCCTTTGACATTTTATAAAGGACTTTTCCTCGATGTGATGCTTGAAAGGAGAAACAGTCAGTATCTCAGGGGCATCAGCTCTTCTTGTCCCCAGGACCACACCAACGACTTGGAATTCCAGGAAGGCCCCAGAATCGCCTGACCACCGCCTGCTGAGGTCCACCTCCTGGAGCTTCTCCTGTAGGAAGTGCAGGCCCTGGTCCGCCCTGATCTCCGCCACAGGCTTAGTGCGGCCGCAGCAACACCCCTTGACCAGGAGTCTCCACCCCACCGGCCGGCACTTAGCCCCATCCTGGGCGTGGCAGGAAAGCTCCCCCAAGTCCCATGTGCTCCCCTGCATTTCCAAATCCGGATGCAGTCAGGTGGGACCGTGTGACTAGTTCCAGCAACGGGCTATGGCCCACCGTCATGTGCATCATTTCCCAGGCAAAGCTTTTCATTGCTGATGCAAGACCCTCCAGTGCCCTCGGCCCTGCTGCAGAGACCGAGATGGCCTTCTAGCCCAGAGAGAGAGAGAGAGAGAGAGAGAGAGAGAGAGAGAGAGAGAGAGGTGAAGTCACTGCAATTTGGGGGGTATTGACCAAAAATACTGGACCAAGGGAGTGCTCGACATCTGGCACAAACAGCTCCGGGAAGCGACGGCTCCCTCCGTGAGAAGGATGAGCGTGTCCCTGCGGCCCGCAGCGCCCCATGAGAGGAACTGGCCTTCGTGGGGTGCTGGGTCATCCCGAGGCACCTGCACCGGCGCGATTTGGTCGTTGCTGAGACATCGCGAGACTGGCGTGTGCGCCGCCCTGTTTTCACCATCTGGAGGCGAGGCGACCAGTTCTGAGCGGAGGCCGAGGGGCTTCACGCCCGCTGGAGGCCGCGACAGAGCCCTCAGCGCCAGCAGCTGTCGTCCTAGCACAGGCGCAGGGCGCAAAGGACAGGGCTCTGGAGGCGGCAGGAGGGACTTGGGAGCATGCAGCTCCCTCCCCGGAGTCGACAGCCCCTTCCAGCCCCGCTCGGGCCCACCCCGCGAGCCTTGGGCAGTAAGATGGGACTTTTCCATGACGTGGAAGAGCGTGTCCCTCAGCCCCGTGCTGTACTTATGAGGAAACACCTTCAAGTGCTATTTAGCTTACCCAGCAAGCTTACTGCCTTTGAATGGCAGCTTTGCACGAAGGCCACATGGTGTCAACTCAAGGTTATTATTATAATTTTTTAATGTTTTTATTTATTTTTTTTTAGAGAGGGAAACATCCATTCGCTGTCTCCTGCTCGCCCCTACTGGGGATGGAGACAGCAACCCAGGCGTGTGCCCTGACCAGGAACCATCCAGCATCTCTGTCCCTGGGATGACGCTCTATCCACTGAGCCACAGCAGCCAGGCTCAAGGTTATTTTTTAAAGTAATTTGTTTTTGTGGTGATTAACATGATTTATGTTTATTACAGAAAATTTGTAAAATACAGAAGAGCACAAAGACAAAAATATAAATTATGCATAAAACCACCAGTGATAGCCACTGTTACAATATTAGCTTTGCCATATTTACTAGTCTTTTCCGTCAAAACTGGTGTCAGGCAGAAACTGTTTTGTAAACTGATTTTACAGTTACTATAGTGTGAGCCTTTCTCCATATTTCCATTGTTCTCAGATGACATGATTTCAGTGGCTGCACAGGGTTCTGTCTGCCTCCTCCCTCCTGGGACTGGGCATGCCTGCGGCTTTAGTCTGCTGCACAGCCTGGCAATGAAGCTCTTAGCACATTCACCTCTGTGTCTCTTTCCTATAAACATGCAAATGCTTGGTCAAGGGATCTGGACACCTTAAGACTTTTCACACTGTTGTCAAAGGTCTCTTTAGAAAGAGTAGTGTAGATGAGTCCCCATCTCCTACACCTCACTTTGGTTAGATGGTGTATTAGTCAGGGTCCAGTTAGCAAAAAGAAAATCATGCTAGGTGTTTCAATAAAGAGAATTTAATACAAGGATTGGTTTAATAGGCATTGGAAGTCTGAACGGTAAAGCGAGTGCACTGAGTAACTCAGAGAGAGTAACTGCAGAAAGCATGTCCCACCTCGATGGCTGGGGGACCAAGGGAGAGAGCAGAGGGGACCCATGGAGCTGGAGCACAGACCTCTGAGGAGGGGGTGCTGCCTATTGCTGCTGGCACTGTAGGAGTTCACAGGAAAATTCCTGCAGAGCTGGGACTCAGACCTCTGAGAAGATGTGCCTGGCTGGCGTTGGTACCTCCGAAGGGCATGATGAGGCTATGCCTGGTTGTGCAAAAAAAAAAAAAAGTAAAATTGAAAAGCTGGCGTGTAGAACCAACTGCTGCTGCTGCCAGAGTAATGAACCATTACTCAGAAGACCTGACAGTATCAGTAAGCAGACCAAGAGGACCAAGTCCTCCCTTCTCCTGCCTTGCAGTCTCCCTCTAGTGCCCCCTACTGGCAGAGCCTAACTTGGAGCCTCATACCAACGAGAAATGAAGTTTGCACAGTCCCAGCTCCAATCTCATAAGAAGATAGATTTGGAGCTGAGAGACAATAGACTAATAACCAGACAGGCATCATCACATTTAAAATTTTTGTTGGTAATATTTTCAATATCAGTGATTCAAAGCAAATCAAATAAGACCGGTTAATATAATATTTTGATGATTTGTAATTGTATAATGCTTAGACATCTGATTTCAGATTGAACCTGGACTTCTTTAAGAACAAAATACCAAATTACTACCAATTGACATTTATTTACAGGGCTTCCCCTGTGCCTAGCACTCAGCTCAGCAGGTGATGGAAGTGAGCTTGGTACTGGCAGCCCGATGTCAGAGCCCAGGCTCTGAGTCTTATCTCTGCACCACGTCTCCACCCCCTTTACCATTTCAGTGACACACTGGTTCTTCCTCTGGCCATACCATGGGATGGACACAACGACCTCAGACTCTTGCCAGAATCTTTTGCTTGCCCTGTGCCGCAGGGCCACTTGGTAGTTACGACTGTTGTCAGTAACCAAAGGCCTAACAGTGAGGCCAGAACGGACTCACCCCCCGATTTCGATCTTCAGCAAGCAATCACAGTATGCTGGAATCACAGCGCTGCGTTCAAAGTCCTTACCAGGTATTTGAATCCCTGCTACATTTCAATAAGCAGCTGTCCAGACTCTATTTGAATACTTTTCATGACCTGTAATATACAGTGCAGCCTCTCTCTGATTTTTGACAGCTCTGGTTTATAAAAAAGTTCTGACTTGCAGAGTGCTAAGGTCTATTACTCTACAAGTTCCACCTGAAGATTTTGCACCCTTGAGCAGCACAGCTTTGCAGATGCATGACGTCAGTCTTTCTCTGCTGGTGTGGTAAGGAGTTCATGTACTTTTTGGAGGTAGAAAAAGTCTCAAATATGGCAGAGTGGAGGCGCAGAAATCAGATTTGTTATTGGGGAAGACAGGCAGAGAGGAAGTTTCCTTTGTAGTTAAGAGCACTGGTTTTAAAATGAGATCAATCTGAATTCAAGTCCTAGCTTAATCATTTCCCACCTGAGACCACTTACCAGCTCTGTGACTTGGAGCAGGCTGTTTACCCTGGTGGGGATGTTAGTACAGTATTTGGAAGCGGGGGGGTGGGGGGTGAGGGTGCAGTCGGCTGCAGCTTGGCCGTGCTGGCCTTTACCACAGAGGAGATGCTCAGGAAATGAGATCTATCAAGGGTATCGATGAGGGACACCAATGTTATTTGAACATAAAGTTATGAAAATGTCTCTTTATGGCAGTAATTCTCATCAAAAGATCATCTCATTTTATCCCAAAAGATCAATTTTTGGGCTCTGTGATAGACCATTCTCCAGACAACCTTCAGTCTACTGAAGAAGCCAAGATAGCATATGGAGTGTGAAGACCTGAATTCAAGGTCTGTTCTGCCCCTTATTCTGTGAATAAGGACATGTCTGAATCTTTTCTTCACTTATAAAGTGCATCAACACAGCTAAAAGGCCCACCATGGAGTACTGTGGAGCAAGCAACAGATTAGAACACAGAGCAACATGGATGGATCTGAAAACTTCGTTTTGAGTAAAATAAGTGATCGGCAGAACGAGAAATATAACAATGCCATTTATGTAAAATCAGAATAACCACACACAGTGTATTATAACACCCATGTAAATGACAGAAATCTGATGTATTTAATGATTGTCTGAGAGGAAGAGAATGCAAGCAAGTTGGGAGATTAAGAGAGATTTAAAAAAATAAAGACAAGAGGGGCCTCAACAAACAAACAAACAAATAAAATAAAATGAGAAAATGATGCTTCCCTACCTTTCTCACAAGATTATTCTGAGGATCTGATGAGATTATGCATAGGAAAACAAAAATTAATTTACCGTTTCTGTCTGATCTCCATATTGGACAAATGAGCTGAACAGAGGCAAACACTCTTCAGCAGGAAGAACAGGACCAGGGCAGGGCCCAGGAAGCCGTGTCCTGGCTTCGGGGTCTGCTGGGGGGATGACATCAGAGCTCTTCTGAAGGAGGGGCAGACTCTCCCTCGCTTCAGGAGACGCCACTTCCAGGCACAGCCAGAAACAGAAGCAGCCTCCTACCCATGCACTCCCCGCGAATGGCCCACTCGGGCCCTCGGAAGAAGAGACCCAGGCAGATGGGTACTCAGATGGCTTCCCCTCCTCAGGACATCAAGTTCCGAGATTTGGTCCTCTTCATCTTGGAGAAGAAAATGGGAAGCACCCGCAGGGCCTTCCTCATGGAGCTGGCTCGAAGGAAAGGATTCAGGGTTGAGAATGAGCTCAGGTAAGATACCACAGGTTTCATTTGTGAATCGACTGTGTGAACAGCTCCTTGGAAACCCAAGGAGCCTGTGTTTTCTCCCACGTAAGGAAGAGGTGGTGTCCCCACTGGGAGAACAGGTTTGAAACTGAAGAACTAACCTGAGGCAGTTAGTTAGGGGAAATAAGATGAGTGGGGACTGAATACAATTATACTGAAACAAGTTAGCATCCAAAAATAAGGTAACATTTCTTTTGCCTTTCACTTTTTTGAGATGAGGTATCTAAGGACAATAAACAGAATCCTAGTTGGAAAATTCAATACTGAAACCAGTAAATTTCATTCTTGCCCAGTTTGAACAAAACACCACTGAGTTCAATAAAAAAAATTTCAGCTACTTTGAGGCAGAAAGAATGTTTTGGTTGGTTGGCTCTTAAACATCTGGCTGTGCCATGGTGACCAGTGTCCGTGACAGGCTAAGATGAGGGACTGTATCACCATAGGCACCCCAATGGGGCCTTGATCTTGCTTTTCCAAAGATCATCTGAGTGGGGTTTGTAGAGAGAAGGATGCTAGTTACAGATTCGGGAACAGCTCTGAAGCTGAATGTGATGAGATTACTCAAGAAAACCGAGACAAGAGGCAGATGAGCCCTGGCTGGTTTGGCTCAGCGGTTAGAGCGTCGGCCTGCAGTCCAGAGAGACCCGGGTTTGGTTCCCGCTAAGGGCGCATACTTTGGTTGCAGTTTGTCCCTGGCCCTGGTTGGGTCGTGCAGGTAGCAGCCACTTGATGTGTCCCGTTCACATCGATGTTTCTCTCTCTCTCTCTCTCTCTCTCTCTCTCTCTCTCTCTCTCTCTCTCTTCCTCTCTCTCCTTCCCACTCTGTCTGAACAAAAAATGGAAAAATATCCTCGAGTGAGGATTAAAAAAAAAAAAAAAAAAAGAGGCAGATGAAGCTACCACTGGGGTCCCTAGACTGGTTCACTTACAAACCCGGTCACATCCCGGCAGTTAGCCTTATTGCTTTTCTAACTGTTACTTACGCTGTTCACTGGTCTCAAACAGATGGAAGAGAAAACAAAACAAAGTCCAGGAATAAGTGGTATTAGAACCTTAACCTAAATAGTGCCAAGCAGAACTGCCAGGAGGCTGGCAGTGAATCAAGAATGATGATTAATGCAATTGTCTGGTTTTGATGATCATTTTTTTCCTTCAGGCAAACGATAAGAATTCTATGTGAAAGTAAATTTGTATTTAAAAAATGCTCTTTGATGATTACAAATAAAACAAGCCTTCCCTGATGATGAAATCTCGGCTTCAAATGGCTTGAGAGACATATGTCAAAAGCCGATAATCAGATATGATCATTTTCACAAGATCCGTAATTCATACGAAAACTCAATGTCCCAGAAACATTTTATTTTTTACCAAAGCGCCCCATTCAGAAATTCCCGAGTCTTCCATTTCTCTCTCCCATCTCGTTTCACTCTGTATGATCTCTTTGCCCTCTCTCTGCCTCTTTTTCTCTTTATCCCTGTCTCATCCTTTCCGTCAAATCTTAGATTTCATCTAATTGTTAAGCCTGCCTAATTGTACAGATTTACATAAAATGTTGAAATTAGGAGGGGAAAGATGACCTAGGCGAAGAGGCCAACAATCAGAAATTAAAATTCAAAGAAAAAAAAACGGGGAAGAAATGAAATGAAAAGCGTTAGCAAATATGGAACTACTTTTTTGTGGTAAAGAAACTTGGCAAGGGCCAGGCAGGAAGGTGGGAACCAGATGGCCGGGGACCACTTACACAGAAAGCTCTGCTGACCGGTCCGTACTCCCAGCCGGGCTGACTAGCTTCGTGACAGGCACGGCAACAGAGACGTGCGTGGTGGCGGAGGCAGGTATGTGGGGAGATGATGGGAGGCAAGTTTCCTCCTTTGGCAAGAGCCCGAGAGGCAGGCCGTGCCCCAGATGCCTGCTGCCGGGGACCCAGGCCAGCTGCTCAGGCGACGGAGGAAACCGGTGCCTGGTGAGCAAACTGCTGCCGTGCGTGTGACGGTGGCACAGTTCCCAGGCTGGCAGCCTGGTAGGCACAGTCAATACACATGTGTTCTATGGCTCAGAAGTAAACCACAGGAAGCACAAGTCCTAGCTCGCAAACGGCATCTCTGAACACAGACTTTAATGGGAAAGGACAACAGAAATCATTGTAGGGGGATATCTCGAGATGAAAAATGTAGAGTCCTCAAATTCTGGCTCTGACCCTTCCCAGCCATGTCATGTGGCGAGACCCTCTCTCCTCTCTGACCTAACTTTCCAGATAAATGGTTTTGTCTGATGTGATCACCAAATGGGATGATGGATGTCAATGTGCTTTGATAAATTAAAGGTTATGCAAATGTGAAGTGTTATTGTGTTCTTGTTAATTAGCTGGATCCATTGACCTTTACAGCAAACCCCTAAGGAGAGGGTTTTTTCCTCCACAGTATGAACTAGGTCAAATGATATAAACAAATAGAACAAAGGAAGGAAACCAGTCAAAATGTTACAAATGGTTATTTTGGGGAGTGGGAGAAAAGGGAGTAGTGGGGAGGGATTGTAGCTGCTATTATTCTCTGTTTTTTTACAATATGCACATATATATACATACACACACATTTTTTAAAAAATTTCTCACCCGAGGATATTTTTCCATTGATCATTAGGTAGAATGGGAGGGGGAGAGAGAGAGAGAGAGAGAGAGAGAAACACCGATGTGAAAGAGCCATATCGACTGGTTGTCTCCTGCACAACCCAACCAGGGCCGGAGATGAACCACAACCGAGGTACCTTGACCGGAACCGAATCCACGACTCATTGGTCAGTGGGCTGACACTCCAACTGCTGAGCCAAACCGGCCAGGGCCAATATGAATATATTTTAAAGATGAATAAAAAGCTGATATTTAAAAGAAAGGATGCTTCCACTAGTGAAGGTGAGCTATACCTGCCCTTGCTAGCAAATATGATTCAGAGAAAGAGGAGCCGAGGGGGCAAAGTATGCTCTGAAAATAGGCAGCCGTCGTCAGAGTTCCCAGCACATTCTTTGAGGAGGATTACAGCTGAGGAAAAATCTGATTCTTACTCTGGCCGGCTGGCCTGAGCGCACGGCTTGGACACGGCCTACCTGGATGCATTGAACTGTCGGAGCTGGTTTCTTCTGCAGCACATGCCCACATAGCCTTCTGCTGAAGAAGAAAGCGCTGTGGCGGGAAGGAGGGCTCTCCAGGGTTATATCACCCAGCAGCTGAACACTTGCTGTTCCACTGTTTAAGCAGTAGAAGTCCACCAGATGACACTTTTGTCCTGCCATGACCTCCATAATTTGTCTACAAGGCACCTTTGGAACGCATTGTCTTCGTAAAAGCAAGACGTACCATAGTGACATCACAAATAAAGGGTTCCGTTTGAATCCACTCTGCGCAGCATGTGCCTGGTTCTGGGGATGCAAACCAGAAGACATGAGCCCTGCCCGCAAGGAGTGCACCATGGGGCAGGGGAGTCAGGAACTGGAGCTGTTATCATCTAGAATTAAAAGAGACTGTAATAAGTATATACTAGTCTTTTATTTTAAGTTAGCATTTTCCTGCCCAACCCTTTACTTTCAGCCTTCTTGTATTATGTTAGCTTAGTTATACGACCCTGCCTGCCTGTGCTTTCTATGCATTTCCTATGTCACATGGGGAATGTGGCTTCTGCCTCACTCATTATCCCCCGACTATTACCTCCAGTGTCCCAGGGAATCTCATGCTAGTAAAAGTCATGGTTTCCTCACCTGACTGTTGATAAAAACTCTCTCCTTAACCAGACTTGAGCATGGTCTCTAGCAGTGTAAGGCCATGTTCCTAGGATGCCCCGCCCGCCCCTACACAAATGCCTGCCTGAGGGAGCTCAGGGCTGCCAGGAGAAGGTTCTGCTGTTCCAGCCAAACCTGGCAATAGGCAGGTGGCCCCCCTTAGAGCAGTTACTATAGACACCTTGAAATGATAGACTCTTCCTCTGCCTCTTTGAGATGTAAGTCTTCCAGCACCCCCACCCCCAGCTGTCTTCTCAGAGACCAGAGGGTCAGCTCTTTGAAAGGCCAACGTTCAAGGAGAGAACTCTCCATCCCCTTCTCTGTGGGAGGGCAAAACTCGAACCCGCACCACTGCCTCCTGTCCTAAAGAGTCGAGAAATGTGTTTCTCCTCTGAATAGCACCAGTGAGCAAATCCAGGTGGCCTGGTCCCATGGACCAATCCCCTCCATGCCCCTCAGCACCTTCCCCTTAACATATCCAGCCCTTAAAAGGCCCCCCGCCTTCTGTTTCTTTGAAGTTGAACTCCATCATGCTGGACCCTCTTCCCTGTTGCAATAGCTAATACTAAATAAAATCAATCCTTATAGCTTTAACTGGTGTCCAGCTTTATTTACCTGAAACAATGTCCTATCACTTCAAATTCGTGGTGTCTGAAAGAAGAAATATTGGAAGTCATTGTTTGCAAAATAAACTGAACACCAGAAGGAAAAGATGCTACCAGTTCTAGAAAATCTGACGTTGAACTAATCTATCTCTAGGCCCCTTCCAGGCCCAGTGTCCAAACCCATCTTCACTGGTTCCTCTTTATATTTTTTCCTCCCTTTTGCCCCCTGACCTTGAACCCCTTCTCCCTACACCTCTCTATGTCTAAGACCTAAGACCCCGGAAGGCCTGTTAGTGGAGAGAAGTCCCTCCCTGGAACATGGGTGTGATCCACAGCTTTCCACTTGGCTTTGCTCCTCATCTCACCCAGGGACACCTCCCTGGCTCCCCGAGGGCAAGGATGGCATCAGGGCCGTCAGAGACACCTCACCCGCAGACCTCTGACAATTTTCTTACACACAGTACACTTAGGGAAATATTTGCTCAAAAGAATGATTTTTTTTCTGGTGAATGTGGACCCAGCCAGAGGACTTGTGATGACCAAGATTAACTTCTATAATTGAAATTATTTTTTTACAATGCACCAGTATTACTTTTGTAAGCAGCAAAATGATAAAGACTTTACATTTATAAATTCAAGAACACGCGATATAAACTTTGGTCCTGCTTTGGTCCAAATTACTTTGTATTTCAAAATGTGGAAATGTTCATGATACCATTTAAGCTGGGCCCCAAAAGAAGGTAAGACCCTCAGGCTTAAGTCTATCGGGGCTGGAAATAGAAACCTGTCTTGACTGCTTTGACTTTTGTTTCAAGGATCCTGAAACAGATCTGTTGCTAAAGGAAATTGGCAGGAGGGTTTAAAACTGTAAACAGCTCAGCTTAACTGTAAATTACTATTTGAAGCCATTGCTCACAAAATGAGTCCTACATCAGAAAACAGTTTTAAAGGCAAAGGTAAAAGCAGATGACCACCCATGAGAACTGGGGAAGTCAGATTGGGGGTCAGTCTGTCCCCAGGCAAAAAGGATGACATGGAGACAGACTGCTTCTTTCTTCATGGAGGGTTTTTCTAATTATACTGAGAGGCAGGGCCAACTAGGAAAAGAAAGACAGGAAGAGCCAGGATACAGGTATCAGAGAAAAAAATTCAAAACTAAGATTTATGACTTAATTCCATAACTTGGGGTTTTCCAGACATCTGAGTGCCACATTTAGGGTTCTTATACCTTTTACCACATGTGTTATTATATACTTAATGTGTTTGCTTTACTTGTTCCTAAACTGAATTGTTAAAAATCATTTAGCTTTGTCCTAAGGAATACCAATGGTCTACCTATTGACCATTACTATGAATCTGGCTGTGTGCTGGGCACCAGGCATGATTATACCCAGGTGGTAACCAGGCAGATTAGATCACTGCCCCTCCCTCCGGGCGCCGGTGAGCACTCGGGACACCAGTGAGTACGAGGAGCACATTTCAGTTCACTAGCTGCAGGAGAAGGCTCTGCGTATCTGGGTATTTGCCCTGTGGGAAGCTGAGGGACAAATTCTATTTCAGTTCTTGAACTGGTCAAGGCCTCCCAAACCTAGTCCAAGACCTTAGTTAGCCATGACTAAGAAACTAGATGCTTTTTTTTTAAAATTCTCAACTGAGGATATTTTTCCATTTAATTTTTTTCATTTATATCTTTCCATTTATCTTTAGACAGATTAGGAAGGAGGGAAAGAGGGAGATAGACACACACAGAGAGAAACATCGATGTGAGAGAGACACATCAACTGGTTGCCTTCCGCGTGACCCCGGTTGGGGACAAACTGCAAACAAGGTACAGTATGTGCCCTTGGTGGGAATCAAACCTGGGTCTCATTGGTCTGAGGGCTGACACTCTAATCGCTGAGCCAAAACGGCCAGGGTGAGAAACTAGGTGCTTTTAAGGAATTGAGTTCCCTGGTATTTCGGGAACAGCCATCTCGGCAGTGCCTTGGGGCCTTTGAAAGGTTGGGGGGGGGGGGGGCTGTGTGAGGCTGCCTATCACCTTTTGTTATGAGAATAGCACAGGCTCTTGGGAAGAGGCAGGTAGCACCTCAGCCCCAGCCCCAGGTTTCTCTGTCTTTGAAAATGACATTCATGTATATTTTTTTCTTCTAAGGAAAAAAGTAATGATAGATGGCTCATGACAGAAAATGCAGAAAAAATGCCAAAACAAACAAAACCTCACCCAGGGGTCTAACCACAGTCTAGTAGAACGTTAAGAGAGTGCTTGAGTCATGCACACCTGGGTTTGAATCCTGGCTTCATGTAACCTCTGCCAGCCTGGGTTTTCTCATCCGAATGATATTGCCCATCTCCTAAGACTATACAGTTAACCCTTGTATCCGCTGGTTCCCTACCACAGATTCAACCAATCGTAGATGGAAAATAACTTTAGAATCCCAGAAAGTTGATCCCTTTATAAGAACTATTTACATAACACTCACATCGTATTAGGTGCTATAATCATCTAAAGATGATTTAAAGTATATGAGAGGACGTGTGTAGCTTCTATGCAAATACTACAACATTTTATATAAGAGCCTAGAGTGGAGTCAGCACAAAGTCACAGAGGGGGAGCTCACGTTGGTCCGGCATGCAGGCTGTGGGTTAAAATAGAACCAGGATCAAATCCCTGCTCTCCCAGTTATTAGCTGGGTGGATTTTTATGTCTCCAAGGCTCTCTTTTCTCATGGTTAGATGGGGGTGATGATACCTATTTCATAGTGTTACGGCAATAACAACAACAATAATAACAATAAATATTATAGTACTTAATAATAAAGGAAAGGAATATAAATGGAATATGTAGCCCTATTAATCCTTTTGTTGTCTTCTTAAAGTCTTCATATAAACAACCTTTCAAGAAGTTTATTATAAATAATTTTTGGAATTATGTGGACCTAGAACAGGGAAGCAGTTTGCTGTCTTCCCTGAAGTCTCGTGAACATTGTTCTACTGTGACTTACCTGTGCTGGGGCACACCCTGCCATCCAGGTGGTCCCAGCTCGGACCCCAGCCCCCCTCTCCAGCGCCAGCCTCAGATCCCACCTGTCAACTGAACATTTCCACTGGGGTCTCCTGCCGTCTTTCAAATGCAGCAGGTCTGGAAAAACTCTTCAATCTCACTTCCCAACTCCTTCCCGCGGAGATGCAACTTCCTAAATTTTTATTTCTACCCAAAGTGCTAGTACTGTGCTGGGACTGATGTGCTGGAGGAATGTTTGATCTATTCCCACTTCCCCTTTCAGAGGTGAACTGATGCCAGAGGTCCATCGTTTGTCTCTTTTGCCTTCCTTCTTGTGCGATGGGAACCAGACTGGGTTAAAATCATCCCCCATTTGTTTCATTGTTTCGTTTTCCTAAGTCGTTCCCCATCCTCCCTCAGCCGTCACTCTCCCTCCAAGCCACTGAAGGTACCAAACTAGTGTTTTAAAACACCACAGTAACGCTATCAGCGTTCTACTCACAAAATCCTCCACTGGCTCCACAATCCCCGCAAATAAGATCCAACCTCCTCAACCAGGCTGCTACAGTCTCCTATACTGAGGTTGCTCCACTGCCCTATGCCTACAAGTACTTCTCAACACAAACTCCTCACTCTAATCCAGGCCGTTCTTCTACCTCTTCTCTGGCTTCTGAACCTTTTCTTCCACGAGGACCCAATGCTCTGCCTTCCAGATATTTCATTCCTCCCCATCCATCAAGACTAGACATTTATAGTGGGGGGATACATGGTGATGGAGGGAGACTTGACTTGGGGTGGTGAACACACAATACAATATACAGATGCTGTATAGAATTGTACACCTGAGACCTATATAATGTTATTAACCAATGTAACCCCAATAAATTCACTTTAAAAAAAAGACTAGGCTTTTTCACAAAGCCATCCTGCCTCTCCCGGCTCACACGAAGCTCTTTTCCTTCTCTGCAGACTGTGCGCAGACCTTGTTCATACCTCATGTTTTGTCACAACACATTGTTAACCATCAATTTCTCATAAGACACTAATGTCCACAAACTTCCTATTTCTTCTTTAGTACCCACCCCTCACCACCCCCAGCACCAGGAGCCTAGGGCTGTGAATATAACAGTGAACCAAAAATACCCAATGAATCCAACAGTCAGTCCAAAAACAGAGAAGGAGAAAAAGGGAGTGAAAAATGAAAAGCAGGAAAAGAAGAAAAAATAATTTTATTTATTTATTTATTTATTTATTTATTTATTTATTTATTTATTTATTTATTTTGGTATGTGCCCCTAGCAGGAACCGAACCCAGGACTCTCTGGTCCACAGGTCAATGCTCCAACTGCTGAGCCAAACCGGCCAGGGCGAAAATAAATTTATTTTTATGCCTAGGTGTGCGTCATGCTCTCTCCCAGTTTCATAGACTATTGGAACTGAAAGAACCCTAAAAATCACCTGTCCCAATGATATACTTGACTGTAAAGACTTGTTAAAAACTAGAAATAACATACTTGACCCAGAAAAGATAATTTAAAAAAGGATAAATATAATTTACCAGCTGTGTGACCTTCAGGATGTCACATACCCTCTCTGTTCTTCAGTTTCCTCATTTTTGAAGTGTGAATGCCATAACACTTACTCGAGGAGCTGTGTGAGAATTGAACAAGGTGATGTGGGTAAAGTTCTTGGACAGTGTTCAAACATGGTGCACGCTCGGTGGTTTTTAGGGTAAAGATCCCGGCCTATCTTGCATCACAGAAAAACGTGTAAAGCACTATTTCCCACAGGCTGGTCACCACCTATTAATGGGTTACGTGATCAATGTAGTGGGAGGTCACAAGCATATCTACATCTATATCTATTTCTATTTGGGGTTATGATATAAAATGTATTTCTCACCGTGGGTCACAAACAGTTTGGAAGGCATTGGATTCAAACCCTCTACAACTGAAAATGCAGCAGCACACCAGTCACATGCGGAGTGCCGGGTGCTACTTTAAGAATAATTTCATCTTCCATATTCTCTGGACCTTGGCTTTGCATTGATGCTACAGTCTTGCTAATGTTTACTTAACATTCCTTGCGTCCGACATGTAACACGGACCACTGCTGCTACACTAATTAAAACAGAGAGAATTCCCTTGCGTGGAGGCCCAGCTTGCCCGCGTCTGTGATCGGGTCTAGGGGGTGTCTCTCTCCACGAGACAGAGTGCTCTCAGCCCTGGAGGGAGGAGGCAGCTTCCGGTTCTGAAAGTCCTGCAGCTGGTAATTTGTCTTGCATTCCGCAGTGATTCCGTCACCCACATTGTGGCAGAAAACAACTCTGGTTCCGATGTCCTGCAGTGGCTTCAGGTACAGAACAGAAGAGCCAGCTCGCAGCTGGAACTCCTCGACGTCTCCTGGCTGATAGAGTGTATGAGGGCAGGAGAACCAGTGGAGATGACGGGGAGACACCAGCTTGTCGTAAGTGTCGTGGGCGTGATGTCCAGGCTCCTTGGCTTGCTGGTCAGGGACATGGGCTATAGAATCAACGGCACTGGGTTCTCTGCTCACTCCCTGTGCGACCTCGCGCAAGTCACTTAGCCTTTCTGAGCTTCAGTTTCCTCCTCTAAAAAAAGAGATAAAAACAGAGCCTACTTCATAAGATGCTTCTGAGGATTAGAATAACATACATGTAAAGCACTTAACACAAAGCCTGGCCTATATGTAGTAGGCAATTTATAAATGGTAGCTATTTTTATGAAGAGGTCTATACACAAATGCTTCAAAATATTGAAGCCCCGCTGTTCTGGTGCCAGAGAAGTGGAGGGTTTCTGTTTTTTTCTTACTATGACCATTCATAAAGAAAAAAAATGAAGAAAGTTAAGCTCTTGGTTCAAAACCCTTCACCAATGTGCCAGAACCCTCAGGAAGGAGGCTCATTTCCTTTTCATGGAAAAAGAAAATGGTACATAATTGCAGGTCCTGTTTCATGTTTTGTTGGGTTTCTTTGTCCTGATTGCAAAAATAATACATGCTAATTATAACAAATTCAAATAGTAGAGATTCATATAACACAAAATTTGACACTCCTATAATTTTATCCTCTTCCCAGAGATAATTGCCGTCAAATTGCTTCCAATTTTTTCTTCGTCCACATCTATTATTATTACTATTGATTGTTATTTAAAATGGATGCTTATGCATTTGTTTAGGTGAGAAGAGACCCTGCAGGTAGCCCCAGCCCAGAGCCCCAGAAGACTCCACCACCTGCTGTAACAGAGATCTCGCCATATGCGTGTCAGAGAAGAACCACTTTAAACAACTGCAACCACATATTCACGGTAATGGGGCTTCACGACACCCAAACGAAGAGCACGCGGCTCCTTCCCACGAACCTATGAATTATGAATTCTGCTGAGAAGCTAGGAAAGTTTTCCCCACACTCACCCTCCCCACAACCCCAACCTTGATCTCTGGTTTTTCTTTCTATCAAGAATGGGGCTACTTCTATCATGGAAATGCACAAATATATTTGGATTCTATTCTTTAGAGGCGGTAGATTACTACTTACTGAGAGTTGTCATTATTGGGCACACTTGTCAAAGGCAAATATTCTGAAAAGTCAGATACTGCCATTAGTTCAAAACATAGTAAGAACATATTACATAGAAATGGCAATAATGCATAGACAGCCTTTGCAGGGAAACCAAAAGGCTGAGAGACGGCGACCTACATTCTTGCTTCTCTGATCTCAACCAGCTCGGGGAAGTCGATTCCTCTCTCTGAGCCTCAGTTTCTCATTCTTTTTTTTTTTTAATCCTCACCCAAGGATATTTTTCCATTGATTTTCAGATAGAGTGGGAAGGAGAGAAAGAGAGACACATCGATTAGTTGCCTCCCACATGACCCCAATTAGTGCTGGGGACTGAGATGCAACCAAGGTACATGCCCTTGACCGGAATCAAACCCGAGACTCGTTGGTCCTCGAGCCGACGCTCTGGCTGCTGAGCCAAACCGGCCAGGGCCAGTTTCTCATTCTTTCAATTAGAAATTAGCTGGATTATCTCTAAAACCCCATGCAGCCCTGAAGTTTGGCAACTGTGTTTCAAAAGAGCCTGACAAACCCACAAATGCTTGTCCTCCGGGTATAGTCAGTCATCAGGTGGGTAGAACATGCGGTACTGTGTCAAATAAAAACTTCTCATTTCTAGCCTTCTAGCCCCACGTATGTGAGGAAGACCAGGAAATTGCAGCTACTGGGCACCGGGAGCAGAAGCCACACAGCTGCAGCTACTTCCTCCTGGGCTAGAAGTGCAAACATGCCTTACCTTAAATAACCCCGGCCTTGGGTCTGTGCCACCTGTGACTACCCCCGTCACTCAACGAGCCTGTGCTGAGTGCTGACTGTTTTATATACAAGCTGAGAGATGGGGATACCTAGTGATCAGGTGGAATCCTGGCCACAGGTCTGGTGGGACAGTCAGCGAGCAAAGGGAAGGATCAGTAATGCCGAGTAGTGAGTAGTGGGATGCAGTGAGCATGAGATCATGCTTTAGTTAAATCATCCTGTCTGATGGCGGTGAACTTGAAGTTTCCTTCCAAAGCACCCTGTGGCCTGTCCTTTCAATTCAACTCCACTTGTCTAACGAGGGAGGGGTGCAAAGGTACTGGAGACCCCATCCTGACCTTCAGGGAAAAGGGCAGGCAGCGTTCCGATGCTCCAAGGAGAGCGAGAGGCATTTGCAAGTGACCACTGGCCCAGAGGCTAGGAAACAGGCTGCTTTATCATCTGGTTTTATCCTTCAGGATGCCTTTGAGGTACTGGCTGAAAATTGTGAGTTTAGAGAAAATGACGGCTCCTGTCTGGCATTCATGAGAGCTGCTTCTGTTCTGAAGTCGCTGCCATTCACCATAATCAGTATGAAGGACACAGAAGGAATTCCCTGCTTGGGGGACAAAGTGAAGAGTATCATAGAGGTAAGGGTGGAATGTGATTTGTCACACCTCTAATAGGTAGGTAGGCAGAAGAGAGAGAGAAAGAGAGAGAGAATAGATTTTTCTGTCAATTATGTAGATGTATTCATGACTTATTTTACTTTCTCTTGATAGATTGGATGGATGGATGGATGGATAGATAGATAGATAGATAGATAGATAGATAGATAGATAGATAGATAGATAGACAGACAGACAAATGACAGAATCCATAGCCAGTATTATAACAGCTGGAGCAGCGTGGGGCCAGCTAAGTGGAGAAAGAACTCTCCTGTATTATTATTAATCACAGTGAAAAACTCGAGTGACCTCAAAGCTCAACAGCAGGGAATGGTCTGATTTCTGACACGGGCTGAGAGAAGGACCTCAGTTCCATCAGGGAGTGTCACCCTTCAGAATGGTGGTGAGTGTCATAGGCAGCGGGGATGATTCTGCATCTCTGTGTGTGTTTCAGATAGAGAGCCAGGGGTGGGTGTTTACTTACTTAATGATGTGGAAGGATTCCCCAGCAAGGCAAGTTGGTCATCCAGGAGTATGTTTCAATATAATCAGAGCAAGGTCAATTATTCAAGATAAATAATCCTAACTCTGTCTAGGGGAGGGTAGGTGGCGCGGAGCCAGGCGTCAGAAGGGCTCGACCTTTGGATTGGCTTTTCAGTGGGTCCAAAACGAGTCCACTCAAATGAAAAGCCTTTGTTTCGGCAAGTTCATATCCATTGAAACAAACTTTATCACAAATATTTAGACACACTTTGGTCAGTGAATATTCTGGTTTGGTGTCATGTAGATTTGGACCCGAATCATTCTATACCATTGATCCTGCGGATTGTAAAGTGACACTTGGAAATGTAATGAACTGGGATTTTCCATATTATAGGGAAATGTCTTGTTTTTCTCCAGATAAGCTAGCGAAACATCCTCCACACAATGGGTGTGCATTTTATAAGAAGTCAAGCTATTAGATCCAACATCACTCGTTTAAAATGTTGCCCAACTGCCCACGCAGGAAATCATTGAAGACGGAGAGAGCTCGGAAGTCAAAGCTGTGTTGAACGATGAGCGGTATCGGTCCTTCAAAGTAAGTGAATTTACGTATATCTGTCAAAATTGGTTTTTCAGGGGGACATCTGTAATACTTTCAACAATAAAGATAAAAAATAAATTTTTTTTAAAGTGTGGTAACCTTTTTCTTTCTTTAGTGATTTTAGAGAGAGAGAAAGGGAGAGGGAGAGAGAGACAGAAACATTGATGAGAGAGAACTTCGACTGGCCGCCTCCTGCGTGCCCCCCACTGGGGATGGGGCCCACAACCTGGGCATGTGCCCTGACCAGGGATCTAACCGGCTACATTTTGGTGCATGGGTCGACGCTCAACCACTGAGCCACACCGGCTGGGCAAAAAATAGAATATTAAAAATTGACTGAAATGGTCAAAAAAAAAAGTTCTTCACTTAACCCTATTTATTCCGAGTGGCTGCAGTAGTCAGTCTGGGCTGCCCTAACTAAATGCCGTGGACTAAGTGGCTCAAACCACAAATATTTTTATTCTCACAGTTCTGGAGGCTGAAATTCGGAGATTGGGGTACCAGCATGGTTGGGTTCTGGTTGGTGCTGTCTTCTTGGCTTGCCTCCTTCTCATTGTGCCCTCACGTGACATAGAGAACAAGCTCTCCAGTGTCTCTTCTTAAAAGGGCACTAATCCCCTCATTATGGCCTCACCCTCATGACCTCGTCTAAAGCTAATTACCTCTCAAAGGCCCCATCTCCAAATACCATCACACTGGGAGCGGGGACTTCAGCATATGAACTTGAGGGAGTTGAAATTCAGTCCATAGCTATGATCTAGGAAGCAGATGCCTAAGTAAGTATGAGCACTGCGGCTTATTGCCATGCTATGATGAGATGCAAATTAGCTTACCTTCCAGGAGTCTGTCACTCATGGGTACACGTATCATGGGGGCACGACCCCCGTGGGACAAAACAAACCTGTGCTAGAAAGCTCCTCGCTGCATCTTTGTCTGCTTGGAAGCGGGGCTCACTGCCTCCCAGTGTTCCTTATCTTGAAATTGCAGACTTGGTCAATCCCACCCCAAAGGCAGCGGTGGGCAGGAGCCTGGACTTGGAGGGCAGACAGACCGGGTTTGAGTCTCGGCTGTGCCACTTACCAGCTGTGATGGTGGAGAATTTGTACAACCTGCAGGCAATCCCTCTTTAAATTGTGAGGCTAGATATGCAGAGCATGAGTGTGTGTAAGGGACTCTTGGCAAAGGGAAGCGCCCACAGGGATAGCTGCTGTCACATGGGGACAGCACAGACCATCCCGTGATCAGATTACAGGGATGCCCGACGCAGATGCCAGAACCTGCCTCTTCATGTCTGTTTCCTGTATCTGGAAAGGACCCTCCTGAAACAGAAATGTCTCCAAAACATTACTGTCACCCACCTACTTGTCATATTCAGGAGAAACTGGCCAGAGATTTGTTTACACTTTCATAATTCCTTGACCTTGAAAAGTATCAATCATTGTCATGACTATTGTAGAACTGCAGGTGTGTCTTCCCTTCCCCTGCAGCTCTTCACTTCTGTATTCGGAGTGGGACTGAAGACATCCGAGAAATGGTTCAGGATGGGTTTCAGAACCCTGAGTAAAGTAAGGTCGGACCAAACCCTGAAATTCACACAGATGCAGAAAGCAGGTAAATTGCATCTACTAAAAAATCTCCTGTTGTTACCATGGGCTGGGCAGGTCATGGTAGAGCTCTAAGTCATCCGAATTTCAACTCTAATTCTGGTGAGCTGAGTTGCTTGTTTGGCCTCTTTTCATGCTGTGGTTAAAAGCAAACACTTTTGGAATCATCCAGCTGTGTGATTTTTAAAAATTTATTTATATTTTTTATTAATCCTCACCCAACGACATTTTTTCCATTGATTCTTAGAGAGGGTGGAAGGGAAGGAGAAAGGAGGAGAAAGAGAGAGAGAGAGAGAGAGATGTGAGAGAGACACATTGATTGGTTGCCTTCTGTGCATGCCCCCAGATAGAACCTGCAACCCAGTTACGTGCCCTTGACTGGGAATCGAACCAGGAACCCTTCAGTCTGGGGGCCAATGCTCTAACCACTAAGCCAAACCAGCCAAGGCTCCAGTTGTGAGATCTTGAGTAAGTGTGTTAAAATTTTTGAGCCTAAGTTACTTTATCTTTAAAAGGGAGGTAACATTGGTACCTAAGGGGGAAAGAAATCAGATAATGAAGGCAAAGTCCTTAGCGTTGTGCCCGGAACAGAGCAAATCTGCTCTTCGTGGTGGTGGATGTCATTCCATTATGTCCACATGTCATACCAGGTTGCACTGTTGATCTGCTTCTTATTGAACTGACCCTTCTACCCTTTGTGTCCTGGTTGGATAAGAGGCGTTGGTGAGGACTCAAAGGTAGAAAGTTGACACGGAGGATTAGCGAGTAAAGGATATTTGAACAAACGAGAGTTGTTCCCTGGCACAGATGTGGATCTGTTTTAGAAACTGTGGAACACCAGGACATAGAAGGAAATGCTGGAAATGCAGACACTTGATCTACCCAAGCAGACGTGGGTTAATCGGATAGGGGAAGACTATGTTGATGGGCATCCTGAACGCCTGGTGGGGCCTCCTGGAGGCTGGAAGGGGCTTGGTCACGTCCATTTAGGGAGGGTCCTGCTAAATGAAAAAAAAAAAAGTCAATACACAGTAAAAATTTTTTTTACATGTTTTAAATGTTTACTTTTAACATGCAATAGAAACAGAATTTAATTGGGAATCGAAGGGGCATCACATCCACAGTTGTGAGCCCTGTGGCTTCTGAGTTGCAAAGAATGGTGAACTTATCAACATCTTTAATGATATAAAAGTAAGAGGATCTTCTATGAGGAGATAAAGAAAACAGCTATCTTCTGTTTGAGTGATGAAAAGAAACAAGCAACAGGAGAGGAAAAATCGAGTCTGGGTGGTTCACATCAGTGCTGCTACAGGAGACCCCTCCTCATCGCTCATCGAGTTGCCAACCTCTGAGAGATTGCTAATAGCTTTATAAGATGCCACATAGGAAATAAAAGAATCTAAGGGGGGGAAAGACCCAGTATTTAATTCTGGGCTCCTGAAAGTACACATTTAATAATGATGCACACCAACCAGCTCTAGAGATGCCATTAAAAAGAAATTTTTTAAAGTATTAAACATAAGTAATAAGTGGCTTGGAATAATAGTAAGGGCTCTCAACACATAGAAATTTGGGGGTGGCAAGGTAGTGTTTACATCAATAAAAACCCTTATAAAATGACACCAAAGGTTCTCAGAATCTAAGTAGCTTCCAATTCCCCAGCTTCATAAGCTGGGATTTTCTCTTCCTATGGGGCTCTTCCAGCCCAGTGAATGAAGCAGCTATTATTCACTTAATCAATTAATGATGGCCATCAGGCTGTTTAATACTCTAGCTTTACGTAGAACTCTAGAAATGCCTTCCTATCATACTTATGGCTTAAAACCCCTGGCTACATGTATCCTTTAAATGCACTAAAATGACTGGAATTGTCAATGGGAATAGCTCAGAATACTGCGAGGGGTAAGCTAAAGAAGCTCATTGAAAGTGTGATGCGTGGGTCAGATAGAAAACTTGATTTCGTTTTACTTACAATTGCACTTTGTTTTAATTCCCTGAGGCTTGAGGATTCACATGGCATATTGGCTTTGCAGTCAATATCTGAAATAAAAAAGTGCAGAGATAGCATTACTCAGTGGCTGTTTCTTGTAGTAAGTTAACCTCTGCAACCATACTGAAAACGAAAGCAAGAAAGCCAATAAAGTTGCTTTCCTGGGTGTCAACAAATTATTATAGTCTCTCCAGGTTCATTCCTGATATCTGCACGTGTCCTTAAAGAAATTGTTGTCAACTATGACTTTTGGCTTATGTACATCTTGAATAAGTACAGGAATTGTATGGTTACCAAGTGAGGGGCCGTTCGAATATCAGCCATGATGAAATATTTTGTATCAATAAAAAACCTAATGGAACATTGCTTTTATTTTTCACATTAATAAGTTATGGATTTAGTTTTATTTAATTGATTTTTTTTAAATTGTGGTAAGCGCACTTAACATGAGATCTACCCTCTTAGTGATTTTTCTCTTCTGGTATCATAACATTTATCCATTTCCTGTTTGTGCACATTGAGTTATCTCCAGCTTGGGGTTATTCTGATAAAACAAACAAATAAACAAAAACAGTGCTATGAGCATTCTCATACCTGTGGATATATGTCCCATTCCTCTTGTACATATACCTAGGAGTGAAATTGCTGGGTCAAAGGATAAAAGCTATTTATTCAGCTCTAGTAGACACTAAAGGGATATTCCCTTTCTTGGTCAGGAAATTGTGAGCCTCAGTCAGAAGGCAAAGAGCCATTGTTACCAAGAAAAACTCACAACCCAGAGAACAGAAATAACTGGCGTTGTTGCCTGTAGCCATTAGCTGTGTGGGGTGGTGCAGAATCCCTTCCCACTGAGGGCTGGTCATTTCACACGAGACATGTCACTCTCTCCATTGACCTGTCCAATGGCCTCTCAGGATTCCTCTATTATGAAGACCTTGTCAGCTGTGTGACCAAGGCTGAAGCAGAGGCTGTGGGCGTGCTAGTTAAAGAGGCCGTCTGGGCATTTCTTCCGGATGCCTTCGTCACCATGACAGGAGGGTTCCGGAGGTAAATAATGAGGATCGCTCTTGCCTTCCCTGTTCTAACACCTTCAGTGGCTCCCTGTGTTCAGAAAGTCAGGCTTCTGAACATGGCGCCAAAGGTCTTTCGTGCTCTGGCCCCAGCCTCTCTCTGCAGCCTCATTTCTTACTCTTCGTGGTCCACTCCAAACAGCTCGTCACTCTCTGCACACACAGGCCTGTTTCTTGCCTCTGTGACTTTGTCCAGCAGGACCTTCTTGCACTGGCTTTCCTCAAATCGTCACCTGGCTGATTTCTTCTCATGCTTTAAGATTCAACACAGATGCCACCTCCTCCAGAAAGCCTTCCTTGACTCCTCCCCGCTGGGCTAAGCATCCCTCCTCAGTGCTTCCTGGACAGCTGCCAAGTAATTTGTTTGTATTTGTGCTTTTCCCACTAAGATTTTAGAGCTTAGTGCTCAGTGAGAACCATGCATGGTGCCTGGCACAGAGTAGGCCCCCCAAAATATTGGTTGAGCCAATGAATGAATGGGTGAATGAATGAATGAACTCTCCACAGAGATGTGTGCAGTTGTTGGGTATTAAAGCCTCCATTTTCAGAGATTCCTTTCCCCTCATACTGCCCGCCCCCCACCCCCACCCCCAGTCTCCCCCTTTGGCTGTCTTACATGGCGCTGATGGCTGTTCTGGCAAGCTGGTCTGAGGTGAGGGAGAAAGAGGGAGGACGAGATCAATCTAAGAAAATGCCCTTAATCTGTTTCCAAGATCCCTATCTTATATTATGTGAATATAGTTCTTAGGATGCTTATTGTCATGCTTGTGTGTGTGTGTGTGTGTGTGTGTGTGTGTGTAGATGTGAGTGTGCAAAAGAAATAATCTTTTTTGTCATTTTTTACCCACACACACATAATCATATACATGTGTGATTTTTTTATGTCATAAATTTATTTTGCAAGGCATGGAGTTGTGCAACCAAGGATATATTGTTGTCGTTGTTTCAAGTGTCAGGAGCATTTTGTTGCAAACCTTAAGCCTAAGGCATAAAACAAAGGTGACTTAACTACAGAGCTGAAATCTAATTTATTTCCATTTTCTACTTTTTTTTTTTTTAATCAGGGGCAAGAAGATGGGGCATGATGTAGATTTTTTAATTACCAGTCCAGGATCAACAGAGGAAGAGGAACAACAACTTTTACCTAAAGTGATAAATTTATGGGAAAGGAAGGTAAGAAAAAAGATCAAAAGTGGATGTTTGGGCACTCAAGCATTTATTAATGCCAGATGAATTTTGCACACTATTTATCTCACATTCGTATAATGACTGATCAATTCTCAGTCATTTGCAACAGCTGACACAATGCCACATGACACGCAATGAGACGTGCCGCCTACAAACAGCCTGGTTTTGTTCACGGTCGGTTTGTTCTTAAAGGGGTGCAGCCAGTTGCTGAGCACTGGGCAGCGATCAGAAGTTGGGGGGAGATTCTCTGGTAGCTCTGCAGTGAAGCGGCTTTGGCTGGACCTCTCTAATTGCCAAATTCCTGCGCCTCAGAGGGAGGGTAACACACCCCGCCTTGGCTTCCTCCCAGGAGAGGCCAGGTGGGCTCCCAGCGCAGGGCGAAACACACCCACGGTCTGCTGGAATCCACGAAGCGTGCGTTAAGAGCATTCACCCAGAGCCTGGTATAAAACTGAGAACCCTGTCCGTCAGGGACTCTTCTGAGGTCTTTGTGTTTGTTTTCAGGGATTGCTTTTATACTATGACCTTGTGGAGTCGACCTTTGAAAAGCTCAAGTTGCCTAGCAGGAAGGTGGATGCTTTAGATCATTTCCAAAAATGCTTTCTGATTTTAAAATTGCACCACGAGAGAGTAGATAGTGGCAAGTCCAGCCAGCAGGAAGGAAAGACCTGGAAGGCCATCCGTGTGGACCTGGTCATGTGCCCCTATGAGTGTCGTGCCTTCGCCCTGCTGGGCTGGACAGGCTCCCGGGTAAGCGCTACCTGGATCCCTGGGACAGCGGCCCAGAGGAGTGACAGGGCAGTGGGGGCAGGGTGACAGGGGTGGGTAGTGCCCAGAAACCTCTAGATCAGGCATTCTGCCTCACATGGTCAAGTGAGACAGGTTTATAAGAACAGTTATTCTCAAAGTGAGGTCCCTTGGCCAGCAGCATCAGCCTTCCCTGGGGACAGGTCAGACCCGAAAATTCTCCACCCCACCCACAGCTACTGAGTCTGGAACTCTGGGGGCGGAGCCCAGCAATGCGCGTTTGAAAGAGCTCTCCAGGCGATTCGGATGCAGGGAAGTGTGAGAACCACAAAGTAGAGAAAGCTGCGTGGTGGCTAAGAGCAGAGGTTTGGCTGTCCCAGACCTGGCCACTCGTCCCTGCACTGCCTCTTAGCAGCTGGGTAATGTGGGACAAGTTTCTACATCCTGTAAGTCTTAGTTCTCCCATCAGGGGAGTGAGGGCGATGCCCTCATTTACCTCCCTGGTTCACAGGGATTTGGGGAGATGAAGTTGGCAAAGCCCTCAGCACATGCCCGGTGGTGGGACTGGCCAAGCCACAGCTCCCAGCTCCCAGCCCCCAGCTCCCAGCTCCCAGCTCCCTGCTCTGGTCACTTCATAGTCACAGACATGGTGCCGATGATCTGCGAAAATGGTTCCTTGTCACTAGAGGGCGCAATTATCCCGTGCTTTCACTACCTTCCCACATGAAAGGACAGTATTTTAAGATTTATGCTCCTCAGGAAAATTGACCTCAATGAGAACTTCATCGATTGCCCTCCTGTTCCAGGGATTTCCTGTCCTCCAGCTTAGGCTTCAGGTTTTGCTCCCTGTAGCTTCAGAGTCCACCTCTGATCACAGGAGATGCTACCCCAGGCAGGTGGCTCAGACTATCTTCTTTACAGAATCTCAGGAGAGGACATTAGAGCCCGAGGTGACCTTACTCATGCACTTCTCCCATTGTCCTGTTTGACCAGCCAAGATTCAGAGAGGCTGGGTAACTTGTCAAGAGATGTACAGCCAAACAGGGACCAAGTCCAGGCAGGAATCTGGGTCTCCCAACTCTTCCTCCTTTTCTAAAATATTCCAAATTAAAACAAACAACCAAATGAAAAGCCCAACAATTACTTACCCAGCATTTACTCTGGACTAGATATTATTCTGGTAACAATCCTCACAATATCCACTTAGGCACTCACCAAACATTTGCCGTACATCTGTGTGCCAGGCATATTTGAAGAGGAGTATAGTTACCAACCAAACAAATTGGGTTCCTGTTCCCACAGAGTTTACGTTCTAGGTGAGCCTGTGAGCACAGAGCTCTGTCCTCACAGAGCTTTGCCCTGGGGGCAAAACTCGCTTTGAGAATGTTTAACAGAGTTTAATTCCATTTCGTGGAATATTTACTGTTGACGTAGATACTTCATTTTAGGGATTGAGATATCTCTAAACACATAATACTGAAGACATTCTAGACTGATACAGTAACCTATTTTATTTGTCTCTTGTCCAGCAATTTGAGAGAGACCTCCGGCGCTATGCCACCCATGAGCGGAAGATGATGCTAGATAACCATGCTCTGTATGACAAGACCAAGGTAGAGTTGTCACCCTGAGATGGGCTACTTTGACCTTTATCCCCAAGGTTGGCTCCCTGAACACTCTTCCTGAACTGATTTTAGTGTCCAATTTCATTTTTCTTTGCCTGGAGTGTCCTGTTCCCACAGGGCAGCTGGAAAGATACTGAAGGGAGCACAGCCCCCCACCCCACCCCCTGGCCCAGAATGCATCTCAGGTTTACATTGGGCTCAAAGACGATGAGCTCATAGGGTCCCCAGAACCAATCCAGCAGTGCTTGTTAATTGAGTTTAGTATATCCCTGGTGTATGCAGTGAATAACTCCAAGGAAGATCAAGGATTCCCCCAAAATCACAAATACCACTTAAGAACTCAGATGCAGTAGGCAGTAGTATTGTGAGTGCCCACTTAGGTCACTGATGAGAGTCTCCTGCAAGAAGGGGAGCATCGGAGCTGCCCCGAGAAGTTGCTGAGCGTCAGTTGGGCTCACTCACCAGCAGCGTTACTCATTTGGTATGCTAGCCTTGCAATGGTCACAACTGAAATGCATGCACCAGCAAAATGATAAATTACTGTATAAATTATGAAGAGTTAAATATTCAACTGTTAAATCCACCGGTGCCAAGATCTACTGTTCTTACAGTGGCCAAGGACACTAAACTAAGCTCTGATGGGAAAGGAGACATAAAATAACTAATAGTCGTTGCCCTCTAGGAGCTCATAGACTAAATAAGGTGTATTTAGTTAGAGCTGTCTTCATTACAAGTGTCAGAAACCCAATCTAAAATAGCGTGGGCACAAAAGAGGACTTTGGCTTATATACTGCAGCATTTGGGTAATATTGACTTCAGGTGTGGCCGCATCCAGGTGCTCAGGCAGGTTTCCCTCAGTGCTGGTTTCATTCTAAGGCAGGGATTTTCCATGAGCCCGAGCCTTCCAGCTTAGCTACCCAACAGAGAAGAACTTCTTCCCTAGTAGTTCCAGCAAGAACCCTAGCTGATGCTCACTGGTCAGGTCAGGCCATATGGCCATCCCGAACCTATTACTGTGGCTCTGATTGGCCAGGCTTGGATTATGTGCCCATTTTTGGAGATGAGATCAACCCCATCTGACCTTTATGGACTGAGAGTGGGGATTGGGAGGTTCCCAAAGAAAAATCAAGGTGCTTTTGTCAGAAGAGAGGGCCATGGATGCTGGTGGGATGTTGAGCAAGTGAACGGAGGCCGATTCACATAACCATAGTTAGGAATACTTACAAATTGATGTATAATAAACAGTTCAACATACTCGAGTGTCTCCTCTGTACCCAACACTATGGGATGGAGGAGAAGCGGTGTTTGGTTTTAAAGAGAACTCGGGGTGGGAGCCTGGTGGGGGTTGAGGGCAGGTATGGAAGGCCAGGAGGAGAACCCATGTACACATATCCAATTCTTGCCACTCCCGTTACTATAGCAACAGGACTGAATTCTGGAACTCTCCTGAGATTCTGACTCCATTCAAGTGGGGTATAACTCAAGCATCAATTAAAAAAAAAAAAAAATTCTTCAGGTGGTTCTAATGAACAACTGTGGTTAAGAACTACAGACCCATAGGAAAAATACCAAGTGCCTTTAACTGACTATATAAAGCTGTCATGATTTTACCTTAATTTATTAAGTACCATGTTTGGGGGTAGGAAAATATAAAAATTACAGAAGTCAGTTAAGATTACTTTTAATGCTCAGAAGCAGGGAATTATGTTTTGGCAATAATTCATTTTGACAAGACAGTTTTGCTAGTAAAACTTTTACTATGTTAGCACTGAGATGCTTGACAAAAATATCTGAATGCATGTATTTCTTGTTATGCTTTCAGAGGATATTTCTCAAAGCAGAAAGTGAAGAAGAAATTTTTGCGCACCTGGGACTGGAGTACATTGATCCATGGGAAAGAAATGCCTAGAAAAATTTGTCGACATTTTAAAAAAATTTCAGATTAAATGAATATGCTTCCTTCATATTATAGTTAACAATGCCTTAGGAAAGTTGGGGATTTTTTAAGTCTTACTGAAATGCAGATTGCTTCTAGAAGTAAATTGTTTTTGGAAACAAGGCACCACCTGGTAATGGGTTATGCTCTAATAGGCCATTTGTATGACTGTTGCTTCGAATTCACAATGCGTTTTGCCGTAGGAACAGTGTTGTAATTGGCGGCTCCTTTCTAGGGAAGCTCATCAAAGCCCACTTTCCCACAGTGTAGCTGAAATGCTGTATACTTCCAATAAAAATAGGAGGACACAAGACGGTGGAATCTTCTTTTCACTCAAGCATAATAAAATACTTTTAAACAACAATACAAAATGAAAGAATAAAGAGTTTAAGATTGATCTCAAGGGGAGAAACGGGTTTCATTTGATCAGACATTCCGAGGTAGGAATCATGGAACAAGGAGGGCGGGGCTTGTTGTCCTAAATCCAGATCCCTCTTTTCATTATCAGCCTCCCTCCCAGAGGCCCGGATGGGCAATGCCAGAGGTAATGGTCAGCACAACGATAAGAGTGCTGCCACCTGCAGTGGAAGGTGGACATTACAGGCTTTAGAAAGGAACAGAGCCCTGTGACAGGGAGGCCAGGAAACCTTGAGAGAGGAGGAGGGATACCAGTATCCACACCGGGTTTTATTTTGCTCTAGAATGGAATTTTATCAATTAGGGTGGTAACTAGTTTGTGGAATTCAGACGTCTTCGGTGCCTCCGCCCTGGGGGCAGCGCGCCCTCTGCTGGTGAACAGAAGGACCTTTGGAGGCACGTACAACATGATCATGACAGATCAAGTTAGAAGCCCAAGAACATTGAGCAGGGCCTTGGAGACCTTCGAGTCCATCCCTCCCACCCTCCATCCCGTTCTACAGAAGACAAACTAAGGTCTAAAGAGAGGCACCAGCCTGCGCAACATCACACAGTTAATGCCAGACCTTTCACTGTTTCGGCAGAGGATATGAACACAGCTGTGTGACCTAATTACTAGCTGTGTGACCTTGGAGAATTTTCCTAACTTCTCTGAGTCTCCATTTCCTCTTTTGTAAAATCAAGGTGATAATGTAATGGCTCCTCCATTTACAGCTACTGGGGGATTAAGTGAGGTAATGCTATAAAGTGCTTGATCTGTGATCTTTTGGATTGGGAAGGGTCAAGAAATAAGTGAATAATTACCTGAGGAGAAGGGACATTTACACACACTGTCAATACTTCCAGGTTTCCTCTGCTGGTAAGTACCAGTCTCCTGAAGCCATAACAGGAGGTGGTGAAGATTAGGCCCAGTGTCCTGGCTCCTGAACCCCCAGGCCCAAGGCTACGGGGACCTGGCCAGCACCAGCGACACCAGCTGAAACTCTCTAAGCACCAGGCTGAGGGCAACAAAGGCAAAGACCCAGTCCAATGACTCTGGAGTTTCTTAGATGCCAAGGGCTACTTTATGGGGACTTTAGGGTATTTGCTTACCTTTGTCTCCTTGGGACAGATGGGAGCCATAGTGGGAGTCACTTTTATCTGTTTTTTGTTTTTGTTTTTGTTTTTTTATCCTCACCCGAGGATATTTTTCCATTTTTTTGTACAGATAGAGTGGGAGGGAGAGAGAGGAAGGAAGAGAGAGAGAGAGAGAAACATCGACGTGAAGGGACACATCGAGTGGCTGCCACCCGCACGACCAACCAGGGCCGGGGACAAACTGCAACCGAAGTACGTGCCCTTAGCGGGAACTGAACCCGGGTCTCTCCGGACCGCAGGCCGACGCTCTAACCGCTGAGCCAAACTGGCCAGGGCACTTTTATCTGTTTTGAATGCACTTTTTAAAAATCTATTAATTCACTCTAGGTATTTCAAACTCTTCCCTCCAGCATGTGTATATCAAAGGATCCCATAACAGTACAGAAACCTTCCCCAATTATTAATTAAATTCACTATTCTTAACTCTTCATTTCCTGCGAACTTAAATCATTCCTCAAAGTAGTTTGCTTTACAGAGAAAGACAAGTATCATATGATCTCTCTTATTTGTGGAATATAATGAACATAACAGTCTGAGGAATGGGGTAGTCCCAGAGATGTGGAAGTGGGGTACAATCCCCAGAAGAGGGGGTGCTGGGGGAAAGATAAACTACAGAACTTATATGCATGTATGCATGAACAATGGACATGAACAACAAAGCTAGGGACAGGGCGGGGAGGGGGGGGAATAAGTGGGGGGAGAAGGAGAAACATCTAACAAAAATTAATTAGTAAAAAAAAAGTCATTCATTGGTTTTTTTTCTTTAATTGGCATTACGATGTTACAGTGATAAATGCCTAAAGGAAAGCTACACAAAACTGTTATTTATTGGTAGAATACAAGAGAAATCAGCATCTTTCTTCACCTGCAAAGCGAAGAGCTGAGAAGGACCTCAGAGGGTACAGAAATCTGGGCAGGGAGATGGGAGGGGAGGGCTCACTTTGCAGGATTTGTAAAAATAAAGGTAGAATGTTTGAACTGGGGAGATGTAACCTTACAAGCCAATCCAAAAACCAGATGGCACATGAAAAAATGAGACCAGCCCTGACCAGTGTGGCTCAGTTGGTTGAGCATCGTCCCAAGCACCAAGAGGTCACTGGTTTGATTCCCTGTCAGGGCACATGCCTAGGTTGTGGGCCTGAACCTCAGTGGGGGGCGTGCAGGAAGCAGCCAATTGATGTTCTCTCTCATCGCTGTTTCTGTCTCTCTCTCCCTCTCCCTGCCTCTCTCTCTAAAAATTAATAAAGGAAAAAAAGTTTTAATCAATAAAGAAAAAGTCTTTTTGAATCAATAAGAAATATATTCTTTGAAAAAAAAATGAGGCCAAACACATCATGATTCTGGCCCCAGGTCGTCTGTAGGGTAGCAGTGGGCTGGGGAGCCACCGCTTCTGACGTCCTGTCTCAGCGTTTTCCACGACGTGGGCTGCCTTCTGAGGGGAACTGAGCGTCTCCATCATCAGCCCGGCAGAGAGGGACAGCACCCAGAGTATCCCTGGGAAAACCTCAATCCCACCCCAGGTCAACGCCATGTGCTGTACTGCGGGCGAAGAAAAACCACAGATGTGTTATAGGTCCATAAGAACGACCACTTTACTTGTCACTTTATTCTACAATAAGTTTTTGTACATTGTAGCAGAAAAAAATGACAGAAGTACTGAACCTTGCTAGTTTGGTAGACATAATTTGAACTAAAGAGTCTAAGCAATGGATTGTTAGTGGAATTAAAATAAATGGTCCAAAATATAAGTCACACCTCATTTTACAGACAAAACGGCCAAATCTGCTTGTCAAGGTGATCAGACCTAGGGGACTTGGAGTAAAACTGAATTTCACAAGGGGCTTTGCAAAGCACCAGTTGGCTTGTGGCTGTGACTGGGTTTGTCGAACTCTCCTTGGTTATTTGAAGAAGACAGTGTGCTTCTGAGCAGTCAGGGCCTGGCTCAGAAGAAGTGTTTCCGCGGCACAGCAAGGGGGGTCATGGAGCTGGTGGGTGGACTCGGAGGTTCCTGGAAGCCTCGTCACAGAAGCGATGGCGAAGGCCGGCCCAGCCCGCCGACACTGCCCACAGGCCTCCCTGGGGCGGGCACATTGCCGCTCAGCCCAGCCGCCCGCCCGCTGTGCACGTGCCGAGTCCTCGGGGCTCCTTGACCATGAGCTTTCCCCGGACAGTCCGAGGACGGGGGCTTTTCTCCCTACTCCCACAAAATGGGTATGGCCTCATTTCTAATACTCACTCGAAACACTATTTACCCTGCACACGTGCCTGCGCGCACACACACGCACACGCAAGGAAATTCCCACTGGGGTCAGGAATGGGACCCAAGGGCTCCTTCTGGATGCTTGGTGACTTCACTTGGTGCCTCACTGCTTACCAAACCCCAAGACCCGAGAGTTGGAGTGAACGGCGGCAGATCTGCCCCCCAAGGAGACTGGTCAATCCAAAGGTTCTCCGGCTCTGCCCCTGAAACGCGGCCTGGTTCAGAAGCAGCGCAGCACCTGTCCTCACCGCAAGCACAGATCCCGTCCGGCTCTGTCCCAGCTCCAGTTCCCTCCCCGAGCTGCGTCATTCCAGGCTCAGCCTGGGCACCAGCCACCACAGCCCCCTCCTGCGCTCCGTCTCTGCGGGGGGACCGTAAGTGTCCCGCGCGGGCTCCTCGCTCCCTGCCACGGTCTTCACGTATATGTGAGCTTCTCCCGGGCCCGTGCTACTCTTCTCACGAGTGGGCGCTCTCCTAGGGTTCTTGAGAAAACAGACAGGTTTTTTTAAAGAAATAGTGTGGTGAAGGCAGGGCAGGGGCGGGAGCGAGGAGACGGGTCAATGGGGGGAAAGGGGGGACAAATGTAATATTTTCAACAACAAAAATAAATTTAAAAAAAATACAGTAAAGACTTCTGCTTTTGGCCAAGTTGGAGTAACAACCACCAGCTTCACCCTCCCTCCTACAGCAACCAAAATTCAGACAAACTACCTAAAACAATCGTTTTCAAGACTCCGGACATCAGCAGAGAAGGACAGTGATCCCTGAGAGACAGAAAACACGTAAGGACTGTCCTGCAACTGCCCGAGCTTGCTGCCTTGGAGGGTTTCAGGCCGTTCAACATTGTTTGGCCTAATGTTAGCGTGGTATCTGCTTTTCTGTCCTGTCACTTTTAACCTGTGAGTGTCTTTGTATTGAAAGTTAGTTTCAGTAGGTAATATATAGTTGCATCTGTGCTTTTGTGTCCAATCTGAATATCTCTGCCTTTTAATTGAGGTATTTCTTCCACTACATTTAATGGGATATTAATATGGTTGGGTTTAAATCTATCCTCTTGTGCCCTGGCCGGTTTGGCTCAGCAGTTAGAGCGTCCGCCTGCGGTCTGGAGAGACCCGGGTTCGGTTCCCGCTAAGGGCACGTACCTCGGTTGCAGTTTGTCCCCGGCCCTGGTTGGTCGTGCGGGTGGCAGCCACTCGATGTGTCCCTTTCACATCGATGTTTCCCTCTCTCTCTCCCTCCCACTCTGTCTGTACAAAAAATGAAAAAATGTCCTCGGATGAGGATAAAAAAAAAAAATCTATCCTCTTGCTATTTGTTTTCTATTCCATCTGTTCATTGTTACTTTTTGAGTCTTTTTTCTGCCTTCTCCCACACAGATTTTATTTTTTCTTTTTAAATATGTTTTTATTGATTTTTTTTCCAGGGAGAGAGATAGAAACATGGATGTGAGAGAGAAACATCAATTGGCTGCCTCCTGCACACCCCCTACTGGGGATCCAGCCTGAAACCCGGGCATGTGCCCTTGACTGGGGATTAGACCCTCGACCCTTGGGTCTGCTGAACCAAACTGGCCAGGGCTTATTTAATATCTTTTACTAAAGTTTTATTTTTCTCCATAAATAAATTATGTTTTTGTTAGATTTATTCCTCAGCATACTATATGTATATTGTTATTACCACTACAAAATGGTATTTTTTAAAATTACCTTTTCTAATTGATTGTCATTGGTTTTTAGAAATGCAAATTACTTTTGTATACTGATTTTATATCCAGTAAACTTGTTAGAATTGCTTGATAATTCTAACAATTTATCTATAGGTAACCATATCATCTGAAAATAATGAAAGTTTTGTTTCTTCTTTTTCAATCTTATACTTCCTACTTCTTTTTCTTATCCTACTGCATCGACTAGGATGCAGTAACAGTGAGGATCTTTGGTTTGTTTCTGATCTTAAAGAATTCATTAACAATTTACCCTTAGGCATGATGTGTCATGTAATTTTTAAAACGATATCTCCATTCAATTTAAGAAAGCTCCTATTCTATGTTGAGTTTGCTAAGAGTTTTCACACCACAAATGGCTGTTACATTTTTTTAAGTCTATTTTCCTATTGAGATTGTCACATGATTTCCCCTTTTTAATTGGTCAGTAAAAGAAATTACATTGAATTGATCTTCTAATATTAAGTCAACCTTGAATTCCTGTCCAGCCGATAAAAATACTGAGAACCTCCTTTGAGTCTGAGTTTCACTTGGTCCTCTCTCTCCACACGAGCTCCCACAGAACTTCTCCTGTGAGGAAAAGGCTTTAACACCCTTGTTTTGCTAGGTTTGTTCACTGTATGATGATAAATAGTGATTGCAACCCAGAGCTCTTACCTCAGCTATCTTGGGATTGTCATCAATTTCTGAAATTTCATATGGCCTCTCACTTTCCTAAATAAGACAAGATAAGATAAGATAAAAGAAAGAAAGACACAAAGGATTACACCGATTGCCCATGACCACAATTCGAATCAGCGGTGCTTAAACTTCAGTGCACATTACAGCCACCAGAACACTTTGAAAACAAAACAAAATAAGTAAATAGATCATAACTCTCTCCTCCCAAAACATAAATAAGAAATTCCGCTGTGAGTTACTTCAGAAATAATCCAGGGTTGACAGTGTGGAAAAGTGGGTGGGACTAGAGATTAAATACAATTGGCCATAAATTGATAATTAGGTTTATCATATTATTCTCTCTAGTATATGTTTAAAACTAGTCATGATAAAAATGTTGCATTTTTAAAAATATTTTTTTCTTGATTAATTGATTTTAGAGAGAGAGGGAGGGAGAGGGAGAGAGAGATAGAAACATCGATGAGCGAGAACATTGATCAGGATTAGCTGCCTCCTGCCTGCCCCCATGGGGGATTTGGCCCACAACCTGGGCATGTGCCCTGACCAGGAATTGAACCCATGCCCGCATGGGTCGACGTTCAACCACTGAGCCACACCGACCAGGCAAAAGTTGTCTTTTTTAAAGACTAATGCCACAACTCTTTCATCCAATGATCCTGATTTAACTGTTTTTGGTGACTGGCATTTTTGTAGCCTCCTAGATGATTTTAAAATGCACTAAAGGTGGAGAAACTGCTACTTAATGTTAAAGTTTATAGCCTGTCAACAGATCTTTACATCCATGATCTCGTTTTGTCCTTGCAATCTGCCTACCTCTTAAAATAGGTATAGTTTTAATGACTTCTATTAGATTGAACTAATCAAGGCACAGAAAATTAAGTCACTGCAGGATCACGTCCATGATAACGCACAGAGCCCAGGTTAGAGCCTCGGTTTTCCGTCTCCCTCTGAGTGCTTACGGCTGTGGGGACACCAGGAGTTCTCACAAGCAGAGGATGGAATTAGAACCAAGGTTCGGACGACACAGTTGTGTCACAACCCTGGAACCTCACTGGATGTCGAGCTGGGTGGCCCTTGCGTTCTGAGCATGGTCCCCAGAGCAGTCTGGCGCTTGGAAGGGGCGGGGTCGGTAGATTTTCACAAGGGCTTTGCATTCAGACGTGGAAAAGGGCAAAGACAGACAGAGCCGCTTACTCCGGACGTGCACCAGCCACAAACACCCAGCACCCGTTTGTCTCCTGTCCTTCCCAGGGTGATCTCCTTCCTCTTTACGGAGCATGCCCTCTGTTTCTCAACTTTAGAAAACACATCCACTCCATAGACATGTGTTTGCCATGGCAACAAACCTCCCTCTTCAGTGCGACTATCTGCCCCCCACAAACACACCCTCCAGCCTTGACCAGTTTGGCTCAGCGATTAGAGTGTCGGCCTGCGGTCCCGAGAGTTCTGGGTTTGGTTCCCACTAGGGGCGTGTACCTCGGTTGCAGTTTGTCCCCGGCCCTGGTTGGGTCGTGCGGGTGGCAGCCACTCGATGTGTCCCTTTCACATCGATGTTTCTCTCTCTCTCCCTCCCACTCTATCTGACAAAATATGGAAAAATGTCCTTGGGTGAGGATTTACAAAAACAAAACAAAACACCCTCCAGTGAGCTGAGGCTGTGTGAGCCATCAGCTCAGGGTCAGAAACGAGGTGCAGGAACGCCCACCGCCTTGTCCTTAGGAAACAGACACAAGTCCAGCCACATTTTGCCCAAAAGCCAGCTCCCTGAAATACCCACTCCCGCCAACACCTCCAGACCCAAGGAAGCTGGCGATCACCTCGGTGGACTCGCTGCTGCTGCCTCTCCGGCGAATCAGAGTGTAGAGGAGAGCCACCAGCAGGGCCGCGGCCGCCAGGGACGGGATGCCCGCGGCCAGTCCGAGAGAGGGCCCGCAGTCCTGCCACACAGAGAGCAGTCAGTCTCCAGAGAAGGACAAGTTCCATCGATTAAAAACAAAACAAAACAAAAACCTTCAGGGACCCTAAATGTTATACAAAATCAAAAGGGTAATGAAATATTGTGAAAAGGGTTTGCAATGTACATGATAAATGACTCATTTTCATAGGACTTAATTTACATAGTTTAAGTCGGTTAGAAAAGGGAAATAATCCAGTAGAAAAATGGGCAAAGAATATGAACAGGACATTCCTAGGAACGGAAATACAAATGCCTCACAACATTGGAAAAGCTGACATACGATTCAAAGCAACAATTAGGTACCGTTTTTACCTGTTGGTTTGGCAAAGAGTGAAAGGTTTTATTATATTCCATACCATTTTGATGGGATTTTTAAAATTTACACTAAATGCATTAACCAATTAATTTTCAAATTCCCACTTTTTTAAAAAATATGTTTTATTGATTTTTTAGAGAGACAGGAAGAAAGAGAAAGATCAATGTGAGAGAGAAATATTGATCGGCTGTCTCCTGCATGCCTCCTACTGGGGATAAAGCCCGAAATCCGGGCATGTGCCCTGACCAGGAATTGAACTGGGACCTCTCAGTCCATGGGATGACACTCAATCCACTGAGCCACACCAGTGGGGCAAATTCCCACTTTGTTTTGATCTGAATGGAAACAGCCACATAGGTTTTCAGATTTGAAGATTATCTGGAAATATCAAAGGTGATCTGCAGAATCTGTATAAACATGTGATTCTCATATGTAACACAAATTCAGAAAAGTATATAAATCATAAATACATAGCTTGATGACTTTTCACATGATGAACCCACCCATGTAACCAGCACCCAGATGAGAAAACAGAACGTTCCCAGCACCTCATGCTCCCTTCTAGTCAGCCTGTGTGTAAGACTATCCTGAAATCTATCACCACAGATGAGATGTGTCTGTCTTTCAATATTATCTAGATGTGCATAGAAAGTGTGTACAGTAAGTTCTCAGTTAACATCACCGATAGGTTTTTGGAACAACGTGGTGAGACAACATACAATGAAACCAATTTTGCCATGGACGGATGAATAGAAACGAGAGTTATATTCCTATAGCATCTTGTCAACGTTTTAATGAAACAATGTTGAACAAAACATTGTTCCAGAACCTCGCACTTGTGTCCGCCCTCTTTTGCTCAGACGTTGTGAAATCCACCTGTGATCTGCAAGCTCTCCCTCGCTTCTGAGCTGAGCTGGTCATCAGAACGGTAGTTGAGCCAGATTCTGTGCTCGGTAACAGTTCACATATCGAATGTATCTACCCCCAAAACAAATGCACAAGTGGGGTAGAGCATTGCTTCCCTGTTTTATAAATGACCAAACCAAGGCTTCAAAATGTAAGTACTATACTTACTGCTTCTTTCCCACCTGTAACAACTGGAGAGGAAGTCTGTGTGGAAAAACATATCTTAAGAAAACAAATCTGTGGCATGAATATAAGACAGTCTGTCCGAGGTGAAGCTATAATGCCCAAAGTTCACCCCTCTGCTAAGCGTTGCGTTAAAACAGTAGAGGACAATGACCGTCAGACAGAACTTGATTGCTTTCCGGGTAGAGGGAATGAAATTCGACAAGGAGAAAGAATTCAGAAATTCAGGTGAGGGCTTTTTTACTTACCCCATGGATTTGCTATAACACCTTTTATGACTCTAAAGGATTTCTCCTGTCCCTGGTCCCCACATCCTTCCCAGCTTACTTTGGGCCTACCTGTCCCCATTGCCAGGGGGGAAATGGTGGAGACTGTGGGGATCTAGTTAAGGAGGTTTACTGTTCTCAAACATGCAACAAAGCAAACGGCTTTGGGGGATCTGGGGTTGTGAACCATCCGTGTCCTGGGGCAGTCCCTCGCTGAATGGATACCTGGCATGTGTCTGGTTGGCATCTCCACTCAAGAAGGGGCACTGGATCTCACCCTTTTAGGAGATATTCCAAGTGATAGTCTTACCTGGATCAGTAAGCCTCAGGGAACCAAGTCCTACATTAGAAACCAACCCAGGTAAACCAGTGTACTTGTAATTTTTAGCCTTGGAAAGATGTCTCGCACAGCCCCAACTCCTCATTAGGGCCTTTGCAGAGCTGCGGACGGGAGGTCACTGGCGGGGCTCTGGGGGCCTCGGTGAGCTCGGCGGCGACGTGTGGTGAGTGGGGACCACTGGACTTACCGTGTTGGGTGGCAGTGTGAAGTTCAGCGAAAAACTCTGCAAAAGAGGAGAAAACAGTCAAGCTCCAGGAATGGTCATCCAGGCTCCTGACCTCTCCACCAAACATCACTGACCCTGCAGATTCTAAGTCCCAGGGTCCTCTCCCAATCTTGGCCCAAAAAGAGGGCCGGGGACCAGACAAGCATGAGGTCAAGGTTCCTTCCTCAGCACCAAGTCAGTCCGCAACCAGGGCCAGACTAAGGGGCCAGCCAGCAGGCCTATTGCCTGAGGGACCCCAATCCGCAAGGGCAGTAAAATCATTACTAGAAAGTCAGCAAAGTGCCCACAATTATTGTGCCCCCACCCCTGAATTCTTTTCAGGGAGGGAACTGTGTGACTTCAGAAACACTCGGTGCTTTCTGCCCGGGTTAGGAAGTAAGAGCCCCAAGGGACATCCTCCAACAACACCTGCTCCTTAGACCCCTTCCCAGGCCAGGGAGCCTGAGAAAGACAAGGCTTCCGTTTCTGCTGAGTCTAAGGCAGAGGCTCCGGGCTAGAGCTGAGCTGGTCGGAACAACAGAAGAGAAGCTAACTCTTCTCTACCCTCCCGTCACTCAGCAACCGGCCTCTCCTCTCCACCTAGCAGGGGTCATTATTTAAGTCTGTGGGCTCAATGGGGCACCAAATTGTTCGCCTGCCCAGGTGCCCACTTATCTGGGTCAGGCCCTGCCAAGGGCCTCCGCTGGCCCCTTCCGCCTCCCAGCTGCACCTCTGTCCATAGTTTGGCTCATCAGTGCCAGTCTTTCCAGGCTACTCTTTACCGAGACCAAGATAGACATCTAGGACAGAGCGAGAGGGACGTCTGGGCTACCACAAGTCAGTGTGTTCTTGCTCAAGGAACCTAACCACTGGCCTTCGTTGCCAACACCAACCAAGCCCACAGATGCAGCAAGGACACTTGCTGGTCACTGCACTGAACACAGCTGCCCAGAGCTTATCTCATCAGAGAGTACTGGGTACTGATGTCAGCAGGCCCAAGACAAAGCTTCCTTTGGGGGGACAGCAGATGGGAGGAGCAACAACAAGAGGGCCATTGCGTGTGCTGTTTATCAAGAGTTGGGTGACGACAGTTTTGGCCAATTTTAGAAAGACATTCATGTTTTGTAGAAACACACTACAGTGCTCTTATGGAGAGAAAAACATCACATAAAGTTGGGTGGAGAAGAATCTGACGCCGTGTTCTTCAGAGGGGCATCTGGGTGGGGTGAGACAACCCTGGGTTAGAGTCACCTCATCTGGGTCTGAGTCCAGACTCGGCCACTTAGTAGCCGTGTGGCCTTGGAAAAGTGACTCAGACTCTCTGGTCCCCGTTTCCTCACACTGATCTATTCTCCCAGGCTCGGGTTTTCCATCCTCAGAATGGGGATATGACTCGCTTGCCCTGCCCATCCCATGGGATGAGCCCAAAGAAAATGGCATCTGGGGCCTCCCCTCCCAGACAGTGAAGCACTCTAGGTGTGGGAGGGTCCAGTGGTGCCCTGGCCCTGTGGCCTGGCCAGCAGAGCCCCGCGTGAAGACCACACTGGGCAAGTTCTATTTTTTTTTTTTATCCTCACCCAAGGACATTTTTCCATTTTTTTGTTCAGATAGAGTGGGAGGGAGAGAGAGGAACAGAGAGAGAGAGAAACATCGATGTGAAAGGAACACATCGAGTGGCTGCCACCCACACAACTGACCAGGGCCGGGGACAAACTGCAACCGAGGCACGCGCCCCTAGCAGGAACCGAACCCGGGCCTCTCAGGACCACAGGCCTACGCTCTAACCGCTGAACCAAACCGGTCAGGGCTGGGCAAGTTCTTTTTGAATGGAATCACGAACAGGGACTAGCAATATTCAAAGTACTGGAATTTGGTACAATACACTTGTTGCTAAAATATACTTAAGTTAGCCTAAGCACATATTATGTCTACATGATGGTGCTGGAGGCTCTCTGGATCTCAGCGGCCGAGTGGCACTTGTCATACATTTGCTGTTGGTGATGGGGGAGGGAGCGCATGATACTGGCTCCCTGTTGCTGAGGGTCTGCTGTGAAGGGTGCTCTCGTCCCGACATCGCCGGTGAGGGAACTGAGACCCCGAGAGGTTTCTAAGGCCACCAGCTGGTGAGCGGTGGAGGCTGGGTTGGAGTGTAGATCTTCCTGACCCAGAGCCTGAATTCTGCTCCTTTTAATCATCTCTTTAATCAAGAACCACAGAAGCCTCTTCTGTTTTCCCCCTTAACTTAGCAAACTCCATTTGATTGAGTCACAACCAAGTATGTATCACAAGTCGATGAAAAGAGGTGGAACGTTTCTGATGCCAAGTCCGAATATCTCTGTTGCTGCTCAGGCAGCAGAAGGCGGACTGAACGAGGACTAGAAATCATTGACCGGACCCATTACTTCAACCGGGAAATGAATTTAGCAGAAACATCTACTTTGTACCCTTGCTGTATGTGGGGTGTTACAAACAAAACCTTAATAGTAACATAAAAGATGAGATCAGCAAATATTTGATGAGAATTGTACAAAGATGATTAGTATTTTGCACATAGGCTAATAATTTAAACCCAAGCCCCTTGACTGTATTGCACAAGGAAACAACGATGGTAGAAATGTGAATTGGAGGTGTGAGCTTTAAAAGCCTGGGGATTGTTTTCAGAGAGAACAAAGGTTAAGCTGAGAAGAAGATGTAAGCTGTCACTTACCATTCTGACAGCCTCCCAAGAACCTTCTCCAAACACTGTCCTCGGCAGGCTCCTTTCTCCCCGGAGCTGTTGGCTTGTGTCTCGCATTTGTAGGGACAACCAGCTGGCAGAGCAAGGGTAGAAGGCAAGAGACAGCTCCACGGGAGCCCTGGCCAAGCCATTTATGGTCAGGGGAGTAGCCAAGTCCTCGGCCCATCCCTTGGGAAGATGGTCTCCTGCCCCATCGCCACTGTGTATGGCCGGGGTCACCCACTCTCTTTGCCTTTATTTCCTGTCCTTACTTTTCAGGACTCTTCCTCGGTTACACATCCAACTCAGCACAGAACCCACAGCTGGCCCGAGAGCTCGGAGGCAGCTGCACGCTCTTCACAAACAATGGGCTCCACAGGCTGAGGCTGGCCCAGCGATGATGGAGTCAGCGCAAGCCCAGCCTCGCTGCAGAGATGCCTGGGAGACGGGCTGGGCCCCGCTCTGGGTCCGAGGCCGGGCCCTGGCTGCCACAGGGAACACACCCCTGCCAGTGAGCGCCCTGGTGTGAGCTTAGCTTACCCCTTTCCGTGCTCACACTTTGAGGGGGGACCTCCTGGAGCTGGAGGAGGCTGTCGACATGGGCTACTTCATTTTTCTCATGAGTTCTCTGTTAGGAATTTGCTTCTTTAAAACAGCAAAGGAGTTGGAGTCTGATGCCAACAAGACAACAGAATTAAGACCAATACATTTGGTCATTAAAATAAGTGCTTTACTTCATTTATTTAACAGATCTTTTTTAAAAAATTTTTTATCTTCACCTGAGGACATTTATTTTTCCATTTATCTTCAGACAGAGCGGGAGGGAGAGAGGGAGGAAGAGAGAGGGAAACATTGACGTGAGAGAGACACATCGACTAGTTGCCATCCACATGACCCCAACCGGGGCCAGGGACGAACCACAACCGAGGTACATGCCCTTAGTGGGAACTGAACCCGAGACTCTCTGGTCCGTGGGCCGACGCTGTAACCGCTGAGCCAAACCAGCCAGGGCATTTAACAGATCTTTTTGACACCTTCTGTCTCTGCAGTATTTTTCTAGGCACTGCTCTCAGAATCGGTGATGAAGATATATGAGGCCCCAGCTCCCAGGGAATGTCCGTCCAGCAAGGGCAGAAACACTCGCTGTGGAGGAGCAGATGGTGTGGAAGGGAAGAGGGAGCGGTGACCTGGAGGCAGTTGCTCTAGATGTCCCAAGAAATGACCTTTAGGCTGCCTGCAAAAGATGAGAGGAGGGTCCCAGGCAGAGGAAACAGCGAAGGCAAGACCCTGGTCTGAAGCTGGTGCGCTACCCACACACACAGAAGGTGGCCAGCGTCCCTGAGCAACAAGCCAGGAAGGGGCCCCAGCGGAGGGAAAGGCAGTGAGCAGGGGCCCTAAGGTGTGAGCTGACGGGCAGGTAGATTTCTCGGTAGAACAAAGGGAAGCCTCCCAAGGGTTTTAAGTGGGAAGGAAGCCTGACGAATTCGTGTGGACAAAGATCACCTGGCCTGTCTGAGGAGCCTGGACGACAGGGAGCAATGAGGGTGGCCGGCCTGGACTGGGCAGCGGGAGCGGAGAGCAATGGGTTTGTGACTCATCATGGAGGCAGAGGCAATGAGATTTGAGGATGGAGACGAAAAGTGAGGTAGGGGAGGAGAGAGAAGGTGAGGGAAAGAGCAGAATGAAGCCAACTCCTGGGTTTGGGGCTTGACTAACAGAGAGGATGGAGACACCATTTGTTTGGTCGGGTAATACTGGCAAAACGGATTCCGGGTGCGGGATCCAGGCAGTGGGATCCTGACCTGAACAAGACCAATGTGGTCTCTGCCTCATGGGGTTTCCAGTTCCCAAGATGATGCCTAAACTGAATGTATTGGTACCTGGCATCATAGAGACATGGTCCAGGAGGTCTGTAGGGAAAGTCTTAGTTGCCTTTCCGGAAGCCATGTGGTCCAGGCGAGTGAAGTAACGTCTTCTAGCCTCAGCCCCCAGCTGTGAAATGGGGATGACGCTGCTGACAATGACTGGACTAATTAAGTCAGTACAACTGTACAAAGTGTGCTTCTAACTTTGCTTGGTGGGCATAGGCTCACACCTGGACCAGGTAACTAGACCAAGAAACTCCAGTTCATGGTCCCAGGCCCCGCGGCTAGGCTGTCTGTGAATAGGCAAAGCCAGCGAGGTCTCCTTTGCCTCTTCGCTGTGCATCCACTGATCACAGCTCTCCCTCCAGTGTACACGCTAGTCCTCTAGAGAATCGCTAAGACCTCTCGTCCGTAGTGCCCTGGCCCACGTGTCTGGGTCAGTCATGGTTCCCTGGTCACAAGCATCAAAAAGACTGATGAATTCAGGAAGAAAGGGGTTTATTGGTTGGGAATAGTGGGCCAGGGAACCGGGCACTGGGAAGACAGAGCTAGGTTGTCCTCGAGGCTCCAGCAGCAGGGACTCCTGGACAGTCCCCTCAGGATAGCCTCCTGGGAAAACGAGCTCCAAATACCTCAGCTTCCTTTCCCCTTGATCGAGACTCCAATAACGGGAAGAGGATCTTAAGGTCTGGCTTGGCTCATGTGCCCAAAGCGGACTTGCCACCTGGCTGACAATCTGCCCACTGTGGGTCCCTTCAATACAAGAGGAGGTGGTTCTGCTAAAGGACCGTGGCACCATCGCCCAAAGAAGGGGGCATGGGTGATGTATTTGGGCTCTCTCTTCTGGAAGTTATTAGGCCTGAGGATTATTTCCTGAGAAATTGCAGAAAGAATGCCCTTAGTGGGTGAGAGGTTAGGGCCGCCAACTCTGAGATTCTCTGATCATTTATATTTTGCCACCATTTAAATTTGTACAAGCCCAGCCCTGGCTGCTTTGGCTCAGTGGTTAGAGCGTCGGCCTGCAGACCAGAGAGTCCTGGGTTTGGTTCCTGCTAGGGGCACATACCTCGGTTGCAGTTTGTCCCTGGCCCCTGTTGAGGTCATGTGGGTGGCAACCAGTCGATGTGTCTCTCTCACATCGATGTTTCTCTGTCTTCCTCCTGCTCTCCCTCCCGCTCTATCTCAAGATAATTACAAAAATGTCCTTGAATGAGGATAAAAAAAAAAAAATTTAAATTTGTACAAGCCAAATACCACTGATCGCTCACCAGGCAATAACTGGTCAGTTTAAAAAGCTGGTCCATTCTACATGATAGGTGGCCTTATTCTAATTGTTTAAAATCTTTATATAGGATGTCAGTAGGGAAATAGTGATGAAGTAAAATGTTTAAACAAATAGCAGGATTCTGGTTATTCTTCTGTCTATGAATGTTACCTGTGCGCGTCAGCAGTAGGGTCCACCAGGTGTTTCTAGTTCACTTCGCTCTTCACCCGAAGCTAAGAGCAGAACCATATGAGTTGCTTTGGCCAATGACATGTGAGTAGAACTGATATGTCACATGTAGGCATTGTGAGAATCAATGTGTGATTTTTCATACTCTCTTTCCTTCTCACGTAGGAATCAGCAAGACTCCAGGTAACAACTGGTCGGTCAGCCCAGCCCAGACCTGACTGATGATGACATGGACGAGCTACCAGATACCAGAAATGAACATGCAGTATGAACAAGACATGTTTCTTATGTAAAGCCCCTGACATTCGGGGGTTGTCTTATTGCAGCATAAGCCACCTTACCCTGACTGATACATCAAGCAGTCATACCTTTGCACCACTGGGGCTCATCATTTAGGTTCTGGTGGCTGCAAAAGGTAGAAAAGTCGTAAAACCTTGACATCTACATAGAGCACAAAATAGTGACATGTGTTAAATAGTTTGGCATTAATTCTGAGTGTGTTTTTTTTTAAAACATGGTTCCCTATGACCCTTCCCTGATATGACCCACAGAACTCCGAGCATACCTAAAAGTCTCTTCATCTGGTCAACCAAAAAAGACAGTCCTTGAGTAGATAGAATCTCTGTCCTTGAGTTAGAAATGATCCTGTTTCAGTCAGGGTCCCCGCAGGAAATTAGTGACATACTCAATTTGGTGTATTGGGGGGGGGGGTTATTAAAGGGACTATTTATGAAGGTCCCCGTTGGGAATAGATAATGCAGTACGCCAGAGTTGGGCCAACAGTGTCATTACCACCCCCAGAGCTGAAGAGGTGAGTGGAAGAGTGGCCACAGAGCTGAGAGAGACAAGGCCACCTTATAGGAGCCACGGCCTTCAGTTTTAGAGGTCAGATGTGGTCCTCAGGAACTAACCCATGCGTAGGCGAGTGGACAGAGCTGCTGGGGACACGTGGACAGTGTCTACCACATCTACACCCTCATAGGAGCAACCGTCTCCATAGCAATCACACTGTCAGATTTCCAGTCAGTCTGGATCTGAGAAAGGGGCATGTTTGAAGCCACCTTTAGCTTTGCTCATGACTTTCTGCGTCCAGTAGGGAGCTCTGTTCTGGAATCTGGCACTGGGTACTCACCAGAGAGCAGGAGGCCACAGAGGAGGACCCTCTTTTTCTATGCTCCCCCAATTCTCACCACGAAGACCGATCCTGTCTGAACTGGTAATACATACCCAGGACACATCAATCAATCCACATTCTTTAATAAAACAGTTGTTTCTAGACAGAGACATATATAAGCTCCTCTCCACTTTTCTCTTGGAAATGACAACACTTCATGAAATGGAAAATTACACAAAATAAAAAATACAATATATTTATAGATAACACTCTAAACAGCTTTTCCTCTTTCTTTCTCTTTCTTTTCTTTTCTTTTCTTTTTAAAGAAAACCTTTTAGGCATTTGGGATTATTTTCAGAAGTTCAGTCTTCAGAGGACACTTGAAAGACATCTGCTGGAGCCGCAGGAAGATTTGTCCACAAACTGAACAATAACGACACCATGAGTTATTGGAGACTTAACAAAGGGACCAGATCAGTGGCAAATCCCAGTGTGAACTTGCCTGTTCACAAGATTTTACGAGTGATTTAAACAAGCTGACCATGTCACGAGGAATAGGAAACTTCCCTTTGGAAGAAAATAAAGTTACAGTGGACCAATGCCCAGCCTTGATTTCTCTGTTTGGAGAAATCCCACAGGCTCAAGTTAATTCCAGACTCTGCCCCTGCCCTGGGATCCAGGTTCTAGTTTCTGCTAGACCAGAGGACACTAGACTTGGACCAGGCTGAAGACTCGGACCCTAAATATTTCATCAG